GGTTGTAGATGGCGTGGTCGTAGAGCATGTGGCTGTAGAGGAGGGTTGCACATGCTGTAGTCGTAGAGGATGTGGTCGCAAGGATGCGTTCGTAGATGGCGTGGTCATAAAGGAAGTGGTCGTAGAGAATCCGGTTGTAGATGGCGTGGTCGTAGAGGATGTGGCCGTAGAGGATCCGGTTGTAGATGGCGTGGTCGTAGAGGATGTGGTCGCAAGGATGCATTCGTAGATGGCGTGGTCATAGAGGAAGTGGTCGTAGAGAATGCGATTGTAGATGGCGTGGTCGTAGAGGATGTGGTTGTAGAGGACGGCTGTACATGCTGTAGTCGTAGAGGATGTGGTCGCAAGGATGCATTCGTAGATGGCGTGGTCATAGAGTATGTGGTCGTAGAGCATGAAGCGATCGAATAGGACGTAATCAAATATGTTGCCGCAGAGGATGCCGTGGAGGACGTTGTGGCAGAAGCCGTCGCTGTACACAGTGCTGCCACAGTGGATGCGGTTGTAAAGGATGTGGTTGTAGAGGATGTCGCCGGAGGACGTCCTTATGCGGAGTGGTGTCGTAGCACGCGTGGTTGTAAGGAGCACGCTTGTAGACAATGTTGTCGCGGATGTGGTAGCAGGCGATTGGGTAGTAGGAGAGAAGGTTGCCGTAGAACGTGCCCTGCAGAGGTCGTCGTCATACTGGGCCGTGCCATGGAAGTCATAGTCGTACACGATGCGGGCATACAGGACGTTGTCGCGGGGACTGCGGTTGTAAACGGGGCAGTCGTAGAGGGTGTCTTTGTAGACGGCGTTGTGGTACAGGATGGTGTCGTAGCACACGACGTGGTTGTAGAAGAGGCTGCCCGACACGTTGATACAAAGGATGTAGTCGCTCAGGTTGGTGTAGAGGACATGGTCGTTGCAGTCGCTGTTGTCAAGAATGCGACTGCATAGGACGTTGCTGTAGACGTTGTAATGTTGATCGTCGCAAATGTTGATGTAGCAAATGTCGCCGCGCATGATGATGATGTCGAGGAGGTGGTCTTCCGGTGTTGAAGGGAACATGTTTGTCCAAAGCGTCGATGTAGTCGTTGGGGATGTTGCTGTAGCGAACGTCGCAGTCCAGGACGTTGACGTGGCCCTCGAGGATGTGGTTGTAGACCGTGTGTTCGTAGAGGATGGCGAGGAGGGCGTCGTAGTAGCGACGGGTGTCGTTTGGGATAGTGCCGCGGGGCATTTTCTTAGAGATTTTGGTCGGGAAGCTTGTTGTCATCGGAGGCATGCTCCTAGAGCGTGATGGTGTAGACGACATGGATGTAGAAGGCACCGCTCTGGCGGACGTGGTTATAGAACAGAATGTAACACCTCATAGCACAATATGATGACGGAGTGGACAAAGTGGTGCACGACGGCACCAAACATTTCCACCGCAGCACACAATCTGACGATGGAATGGATGA